GAGTATAGCAGCAGCAGTGGCAGCTCGCCGAGTTCGAAGTGCTGACGACCGAGTTGGCCGACAAACGGCCAGAAACCGATCCAGTGAAAGTACTGCGATGAACATCGCCGAGGCAAATTGTGAGATCTGAAAACAACGAACGAACGTCACTGTTGAACGAGACGTGTACGGGGGTCGTAACTGGGTCGCTAGGAAGGAGGGTGCGTCTTCTACTGCGACAGAAATTTTTCCTCTGTTGATTTTCCACGAGTTTCAGGACGAGCTATACCCCCTCCCTCCGCCTTCTCAATTGGCATCGCGACAAAGCTACAACTCCTAAGAGTAAATCCGAGGTGCTCATTCACCCACATACCCCCCTCCCCCCCCACCCCACCCGTCCCACTTGACTGGACGGCGAAAGTCTATGGGACATCTCGGAACATCTCTCTATCATCCAATTTTTTAAACAAGTAACTTTGACGGCTTTAAAGGCAACTAGCGCGATGAATCCCCGAGACGTGTAGGATGAATACGCCTAGCAGGACAAATTTCGGCGTCCGTGTGCAGGCGCTGTGTGGTGCCTTTCTCAAGGAACGAACCCCTGTAGCCCCTATCAAGCTGCAACATACCGAGCCAGGGACCTAATGCACCCGCCCACCTAGAAAAGTCCAACCGATGCTGATGCTAGTATCGCTACATTTGAGAAGTATAATATGAAGCGAAAGGATTGTTATTAGCTGCTGTGGTGCTGCATGGAAATATGAATACACACACAGCCGTATCTACTGAAGTGGTTGTTGGCACGATGCCAACGGGAAACTCGTCCAAATTGCTTTCCGAGTCGTGTAGAACAAAGGCTTTTTGCAGTTTTTGACCGTTTCACTTCGCTTTTTCGCCATTTTTCCGCTATATAGCACCCGGCTACCATTTTAGACCGAGTACCAAATTACCGTGTCCTATGCCTTCAAGCGCTCGCTTTCGCTGATCCCGGAGTCGGAGGTCTGTGTAATATTTGTCCCTCTTTCGCGCCGCGCAAGTGAGGCCTTCCGCTGTGACAGAAGTGTGCAACGTTTTCACTGGAGCGTTAGTCCTACAATGTTGCAGTAGTAGTGCTCGTCTCCCAAACACCGGCTCGATCCATTCTGCCAAGGGAACTAAGAGTTACAACACTCACCACTTCCACACTTCCGCTTTCGCTTACAGTAGAATTTGGACTGACTCACCCCATTTCCGCAGACGAATCCTTTACAGACAACACTTCCAAAGTTCCAGTGTTTCGTTATCGATTGGGTGATAACGATTGGAGTACCAGAAAGGAAGAGTAAATCGGCCACAGCAAGATTTCCAATATAGATGTTGGATATCGTGCGCATTTCCCTGCTAAAAAAGGGCATATACATTCAGAAAACGTTATTAGTTGTTACAATTTGTTTAGCGAAATAATACATAGGTGTTGGTTGATGAAATTTGCTCTTGTGGAAGGAAAGCAAATTGGGGCGCAGGGTGCCGCGTTGAAATGCGTGTATATGTGTATTTACCCCCCCACTCCCTCTGTCCGTCTCCTCCCGCACATCTCCTCCCCGAAATTCTTTCCTACGACCCCTTCCCACCCACTTGTCTCTATCTCTGATGTTTCCTCTTACCAGTCTTTTAGAATTCTATCAACACTTAAAAAACGCCATCGAGCGAGGTGAGGGTGTGTTTCACACAACAAGTACTGAATTACTGCTCTAAGTATCGAAAACGATAACTGCATGCGTTTTGCGGCGATGCAAAAGAGTCATTATAGAACATCATAAAACCGAAAAGTGAGAAATTTCAAACTACAAAAATGCCAACAAGAAAAAAAATTAGCGCGCTCGTAAAAATTGCGTTCAGGGCTAGATTCGACCCCATTTACCAACACGGACCATATACCGCCTTTCTTTCTCGTCATAGCCTTAACGAATAGCGCGCGTGAAACAGGAAGATTGTACTAAAAAAATTTGCAGGCCGAATGAGACTCCCTCCCCGCGAGCAGGACAAACCCACTGATGGGATTTTTCCAACGATGCTGTACCCTGGAGGCATCACAGGTAATGGTTCAGAAAATATTTACACGGAATTTCAGCGTTCAAGGATTTTACAAGCCGGAAACTTGGGATGCTAGTGAAATGCGCCTAGTGATGTCAGCTCGCGACCGTACGCATCCTTCCAAAGTATCCCGTCCCTTGGTTAAAGCTCGAGTGAAGCTACACTAAAATATAGCCCGTGGAGCTGATTCGCTCCCACATCTTGCAATGCTCACGTGGTCGCCCAGCTGATGAAATAAAATCGTTAAGTACGTTTACTGCCTGTTTACTGCGAATTAAAGTTTCATCTGAAGGGGCTACAGTTCAGTAGCACTTTTTAACGAGTTGGCGTCAGCGACGTTATGTTCAGTACTGATTCTGACCCGCACGTTGCAAGAATTCTAAGCACTTTCTCGAGCCTGCAGTGTTTACTCCTAGAAAAGCACATTACAAGTTATTTTAGTTATTACTAAATTATCACTTAAACCCAGTAAAAACCGTTTGCTGGTAGGGAAGCTGAGTGGGGAGAGTGTGAGAAGGGGGTTGAGGGGGTTGTATTGCTATCAGAAACTTGAAAATGTCTTCTCGAGAGGAACAAGAACAGGCTTCTGGAAGTTGCCCAGAAAATCAATGAAAAACCCAAAAAGGCTACAACTGCAGCTGTCATTCGAGAGTAACTAACAGCCATGAATGAGAGTTTAGAAGGTGACTTCGGTAATGCAATGGATAGGGCACTCGCCCAATGAGTCTAAGGTGAGGGTTCAAATCTTGCTTGAAGTCAAAGTTTTTGTCCATCGCTTAGCATCCATGTGATGATTCAGGGAAGGCAAAAATCGTTGAAAGGCAATTTCATATTGAAACAAGCTCAATAACAAGTATATTATACAGAATCACAAACCGGAAATAGAAGATCGCGACCAGTACGAAGAGATTCGCTGGTATCCCAAGCACAGCGGCCAGGCAGCAGACCAGGTTGACCAGCATACGCGCCTGAAAATCAATGGAAATCTGTATTGTACGTATAACTTAAAACCTCGTCAAAGTAGTAAACCATTAAGCGGCTACCAAAGTAGTAAACTATTAAGCGGCTTCATCAATGATGTATTTAATATGATAAAGTACATTTAATATCCCCTTCACGTATTGCCCGATACTCATCCCACACTTGCAATTAGTTAAAAATGGAGTCCAGGCATAAATTTGTTGATGCTACTTGACTTATCAGTGATGCAAGAAAAAGCAGAAAGAACCGCGCGAGCAACACAGCATTAGACAGGTATTCGGAGAAGCGAGACACTGCTGCTTGTGTGAGAGGCTAGAGACAACGATTAGAAAACGGTAAGGCGAGTAGGTCACAAACACGTTTGCACGCAAATACGTATATGTATGATATGGGAATCAACGCAACGCGTCCATATTTATGCATAGGGATATACAGTCTTTTCCGCTGCAGGGCGTGGGGCGTGTCGAGGAAGTGGATAGACGCCCATCAATTTTTCACAATGTCATGCTTGAAGCGTCATAGCGAACTGTGGACTGCAACGCCAGCACTATCCGCTCCCCTTTTTCCCCCCCCTTGAATGCGCCAGATCTGCAACAAATGGAATGTTGTGATCATTCAGTTTTTTGATTTGCAATGTCTGCTTTTGGGTGGAGTACCTTCTGCTAGGTGGAAAACTGATTTGAAAATTGCGAAGGTGAAGTGTATGAGAGAAATATTTTGGATTCGTAGGTCTATAAAGAAGTCGATCGATGATTCGCCTGCACTGTGCTGTGATAGTATGCCACTTGCCACTGCTCCATCTCTGCCTTCAAAATAGTTTCAAACTAGAAAATCATCATTGAAATAACCGAGAGATGGTTTCAATATTCACAAATGTTGGTATGAATGAAATAGATATGCGGCTGGATGGGGAGACAAGCTTACCGCATTTTATATTACTTCTATGGTTTAGCACTGATATGTGGCAGCTCTAGTAAAGTCATATAAAGGATACTGTAAGTCTCGGAGTTTGGCTCGATAAGTCTTGAGACTTGAGACGGAGACATATTGCTGGTAAGTTAAGTGATTGCACTTGATGAGAAGCAGTTTCCGGAAGAAATTCCGAGAAGATACAAGCTGCAAGCTTGAGGAAGCTTCACTTTTCCTCGAACGTTCTGTTCCTCACAGTCATACATGTTAATCCAACAGGATATCTCTAGGTGTATAACCAAACCAGTAAAGAGGTTATATCCCGAAGGTAACAAGATTTTTTGGAATCACAAAAAAATGCGAGATCACTCTGAATTCCTCAACTCTGTAGTGGCCCAGGAAAAATGAACAGGTGTAACGAACAGCTAGACGGCAATGGATGCACTCCTTCTGAACAATCCTTTTCATAGATAAACTGGAAAGTAGGTTGTACTCCGTACAAAACTTGGACGTCACGATAATTCTACATGATCAGACCGGCTAAGCTCTTCTGTGCTCAATAAAAGGTGAGAAATTGAGAATGAAAAAATTTAAGGGTTCACCGTTCCTGCTGTTGCAAACAGGTCTCTCCACTTCCCACCCTCTCGGTCAGTGAGCTTTTTTTCTGGAAAATGAACGTTAGGAGACGGAAGCGGAGTTGGTCTGGAGGAGGAATGGGAGA